TGAGGTCTTTTACTCTTTTACCGTGTTTTGTTTTTATTGTTTACTTATGGAATTAGGATCTACGGGAAAGAGTTTTTACTATATTTTATTTTAATTGATTAAAAAAAATTATATTATATACTATTAGAGATGTGACAAAAATCAAGTAATTTTTTAGATAGTAAAAAAGTTAAAATTATATATAAGAACCTGTTTTTTTTTATATTAAGAGGGGGGAAAGGGGATAAGCTTCTAATAAAAAATAATCAGGTGATAAATGATACTGCTCTTAAGGGTGTAGATTAAAATATATATATATTATTTAAAAATAATAAAATCTTTAAAAATTAATAACTTTTGATCTACTGATCCAATTTGAATGATTTAACTACCAAAATAATCCTCTTAATGAGACAATTCTAATAAATCCAAAATCATTCAAATTTAATTATATGATCCAGAGATTATCAGTGTTTTGTGTTATATTACTATATAGTAAATATAACACAAAACTCTAATGATCTCGGGATCACGTGATCAGATTTGGATGATTTTAGATTCATTAGAATCGTCTTATTGAGAGGATCATTTTGGTAGTTAAATTATCCAAATCAGATCAGTAGATCAAAAGTTATTAAATTTTAAAATTATATTAATTATATAAATTTATAGAATATATTTATTTACTGCACCCTGCAATGTCACTAATTTACCACTTCTCACATGATTGACCAATCAAATTTTAAGATCAGGTATAATGTAGCACAATTAGAAAATTCAAAACAAATGTTTGCTTTGTCAAAAATTATTTATAACACAAAACTTTATATATAAAACTACTCTTCATATTCTAACAAAAAAAAATTCTTCTAAAATTTTACTATAAAACCTTTCTTCAAGCCTATAAACTATCTTTACCTCACCCTAACCTTAACTAATGAAAAAACTGGTTGTTTTGATTTCATATTACATTAGATTTTATGATCTGCAAGGATATGGCAATATCGCAGAGTATAGTGTATAAATTGTCTCAAATTTATATATATAAATTTTTGTATAATTTGATTAGCTAATTTTTAAAGTCAGGTAGGAGAAGGGGGTAGGCTACTAAGTAAAAAAAATCAGGTGATAAATGATACTTCTCTTATTGAATAATTAGTTATATAAGGGAAATATCAGATATTAGCTAAGATCAGTTTATTATAGAGCCCACCTTCTCTTTTCTTCTTGAGAAATTTGGTTATTTTGATTGGTTATATATATATATTTAGACCTAAGATGTCTATCTTTTTTCTACCCTATGATATCAACTAATATCTGACAGATAAAGATGAATTTAAATATAATTTTTTAGAAAAAGTCTTTTAACTTTTAACTAATAATTAAATATATAAATATTATAATATTTTATATATTTAATTATGGATTCAATATAAGTTTAAAAGATTATTTTTATAAAAATTTACTTTGTAATAAATTTTAATAATAAATAATTCTTAATCATAATTGCTAATTTTAAATTCAAACAAAATCAGTTGATATAACTAAGTTTAGATTGATTTATTAATGAATTGGTATAATATAAATTTTATTTAAATTCAGCTTCTGAATTTTTGACTAAATTTAGATCAAATTTATAAAAAAATTAGTATAATCAATTTTGATTAAAATTCAGTTATCAAATTTTTGACTAAATTAGATTAATTTAATGAAAAAATCAGTATGGTTAAATTTTATTTAAATTTGACTATTAAAATTTTAATTAAATTTAAATCAAATTAATATAAAAATCACCTAGTTAAATTTTATTTAAATTTGGCTGTTGAATTTTTAACTAAATTTAGATTGAATTAATATAGAAATTGACTAAGCAAATTTGATTTAAATTTAGTTGTTGAATTTTTGACTAAATTTAGATTAAATTAATATAGAAATTGACTATGTGAATTTGAAATCTAGTTATTAAATTTTTAACTAAATTTAGATCAAATTAATAAAGAATCAGCATAGTTGAATTTGATTAAAATTTAGTTACTGAATTTTTGACTAAATTAGATCAAATTAATGAAAAATCAGTATAGTTAAATTTGATTAAAATTTGGTTGTCAAATTTTTGACTAAATTTAGATTAAATTAATATAGAAGTTGCTGAATTTTAAAATACTTGGCTAATTTGTTGCTGAATATTAGTATAATTCAATCTAATTGAATTTTTAGGTTTCAACTAGTAAAATTATCTTATATATAAAAATATATACTAATTATTGCTAAAATTAATAGCTTAATCAAATAAACTAAAAATCATTTGGCAAATTTTTATCAAGAGTTTTAGAATTTATAAACAACTAAAAAATTATTTTTTAATTTAAACAATATTTTTTAACAACATTTTTTAAATTACTGTAACTAGCAAATTTTACATTTCATACTAAAAATCAAAAATTTAAAAAAAATATTAATCTATAATTGGCTAAAAATTATTTTAATAATTTTTTAACCAATTATAGATTAGTATTTTTTTTTAGATTTCTGGTTTTTGGTATGATATATGAAATTTGTTAATCACAGTAATTTGAAAAATACTATAAATTAATTTAAAAATAATACTTTTTTAATTTTTTTATATTTAATTTAATACTTTTTTTAAATTTAAATTACAGAGTTTTTAGCTTAATAGTTAAAACATTTTTTTTAACTTAAATAATATTTTTTATTTTTTTAACTTAAAAGTTTTTTAATAATTTATTTATTTTATAATAAGAAAAATAGTTGTATCAAAAGAGTGGTAATATTAGGAAATAGTTGTATTAAGAAAGAGCAATATTAGAACAATTAGTATTAGTAAAGTATAATGTTGAGGAAAAGTGGTAGTTAAAAAGAGTAATATCAGAAAAGAATAATATCAGGAAAGAATTATTATTAGAAAAAGGATAGTTATCAAGAAAGTAATAATTTTCAGAAAATTAAATATGATTGTTAGATAAATAATTGTCAGATAAAAGATAGTTACATTTATTATAATTTGATTTAAACTTTCAAACATGTTTGCAAATTTTCAAACTAAACTTAATCAAGTCTGAACCAAATCTAAAATTTAATATTTAAACCTGAACTAAACTTAGCTATAAAAATAGTTTAGGTTCGAGTTTGGTTTGAATTTTAAACTAAATCTAAATTTATTTAAAGTTTGATTTGGTTTAGATTTATTAAAACCCTATTTGTATTAAGAACAAAATTTTTTGTTAGTTTTGGAAATATATAAAATCTTAAAAAATCTTGAAAAAATTTTAATAATAAAAATTTTTAAACTAAAACTTTAAAATTTTATTACTTAAAAGTTTATTAATAACTTTAAAAAATTTTTATAATAAAGGTTATAAAATATGTTTTCAAGAATATATTTTATAATAAATATATATCTTATATTATTAATAAATTAATATTTTATTTAAAAAATACCAAATATAATTTAATTTTTCAGACAAATTTTCCTAGAATATAGTTTAAAGGATAGAATATAAATATTGAATTTACTAATTATATTAAAAAAATTTTTTTAATAAAAAAAATTTTAACTTTTATATATTCTATAAATTTCAATTTTTTACTATATAAGTTTTACTATAAAAAACTATTAGGCATTATTTTTGTTACCTACTATATATATATAGATATATTGCAAATATCAAATTTATTCACATCTATTTTATAATATGTAATTAATGTAATACAAACATTGTAATAGGGTGGTTTGGGTTCCATAACTTACTTGATAAATTTTTGACTTTATTATAAACAAGATCAATAATTCAAGTTTAACTAGAAACAAAATATACTCTGTAATTATAAAAGAAATCATAAATTGAATACAAAATCCTGTAGTACAAATTTAAGTGAATACAAGTTTGAAATAGAAATTTTTGAAAAGAGATTAAACTGTAAAACATAAATACTATAAATAGTAAGAGAACCAGTAAATATGAGAAAAATCTGTAAAAAGAATTAGCTTTATTAAATATAGAATATCTTTAATACAAGAAATCTAAATTAAAGGATATAATTGTAAGAATCACCTCTGAATTAGTAAAGGTTTAGTTCATGAATAAAGTAACCCAAAGTTACAATACAAAGTTAGGTTTGTGTTGCAAAAAAAAACATTAAAAACCAGAAAACTTAAATAGAAAACTCACAAGTGAATTTTAGATATAACAACTAGCTGGTAACCTGTATGCAGAACCTTTAAATAGACAATAACTAAAGTTATATGTGTGGCTAATTGTGATCTTGCAAATATGCAAAATATAATACCTCTACATAAAAGTAGAATAATAATCTAATAAAAATAGAACATAAAACTTCTTCTTTAAACCAAAAAAAAAAAATAAACATTGTAATGGTTTAATATTATTTATTAAATTTTTTTTAGTAATTAGTGAAAGTATTTTTTCAAATAACTAGAACACAGTAATTATAGATAATAATGCCTTGTATTTATCTAAAAACAATTTACATAGCTATACAAACTTTGAGGTTCAGATATCTAATAATTATATTGTAAAATTAAATACTTATTGTTATTTAGTTGACAATACAATATCAAACAACCTGACCTACCGTCAAAAATTTTTGGGGTACTATATGTCTAGACTTTATGCATGTCCCGAATTAGCCCATATGCTTCGTATGCAATAACTATATATTACTTTTGGTTGTCTCAAAAATAAATATTAATTGAATTAAAAGCATTAAACCAATAAACTATTTTTCAAGACGTGGTCAGTAAAAATAAACTTTTTTCAAGCATTTGAGATAAATTAATATCAAATATGCAAAATCAAAGAGACGAGACTAAAGACTTATCCCAGGTTGATAGATTGAAACAGGAAAATACCAGACTTATAACTAGAGTCGCAAAATGAAAGATTAGTAAACGAAAAAAAATGCACCTGAGGTTGAGAATATGAAGTTAAAACAGATTATAGAAGAAAATGCTAAACGTAAAGCTGTGTACAAGACTAGAATTAAGAAACTAGAGCAAAGAGATAAAGAGAATGTTGATCTTAAAGCTGTAGTGAGAAATGATAGGAAACTGGCACTTATTACGTAATATAGCCTCACTCCAGAGTCAGTCATTTGACAATTAAAAGTTGTAGCTTGACGATAATTTATACGACGTAAAATTAAACCAAAAATTTGACTGATAATTGTTGAAATATTTTAGTTTAAAATCTTAAAAAAAAATTACTACGTAACAATTTAATTATGTGTATATTTAGCAATTTCTAATATAGATACGTATAATTATAAGCTAATTTTTAGCAAAAATATTCTCGGTTATCTTACCTGGCTAATCACGTACGTACGTACGTGCGTATATTTTTTGTATAGTTTAATGAATAATAAATACTGTATGTTTTTTGAATATATCAAAAACAAAATCTTTTTAAAATTTCTTCATATAAAAAACCAACTCTAAAGTTATAAATTACGATTTTTTAAATAGCAAAGCATTACGTTTTTAAGAAGCATATCGATATACATACGTACGTACTATATACCAATCTGCCCGTAATTGCAAACTGAAACCTGGTTCTGGGTGAATAAACTTCTACATAAGTCTACATAAGTCTTTAATTGTTTCAAAGGTGACGATGGAAGCACGTGCCAATCAAAAAATATCTTGGCGATTATTTTTTTTAGAATTGCATTACTTGACAAATCTTCGAAATTTTTTCTGAAAAAGAACTTTATAGATCTTATCCACGTATACTAGGAAATGAAAACCGTTATATGTCAAAGTAGTCCATCTTTTTTTAGACCATTGGTTCGTTTACTATATATATGTACATACAGTATGTTGTAAGTGGGAATAGAATTTAAGTGGATTTGGAACTAGTTAAATTAGGGTTAGGGTTAGGGTGTACATACGTATGATAAAATCAACCCCGAAACGGGGATTTTTATATATAAATTCCGAATCCACTTAAATTCCGTTTCCGCTTACAACATATGTACGTATATATTTTATATATAATTATACTACGCCAATTGTAAAATTAGAATATTATATATAATACGTATTAAAAGCCAATTTATATAGGTCAAAGGGAACCCTGTAATCAGATTTATATCTCTACGTACAAGTGATATTCATTACCATTTAAAAATCGTAGATCCAAAACAGTTGTAACTTCAATTTTTAAACGTTATTGTGATAATTATATATATACATATCAAAATAATCATATGACAATAGTGACAATATATAATCGAGTACATTATGTTACTAATTTTGTAAAAGAAAAAAAAAAGTTTACTGTATACTTGGCTAATATGCATAGTACAGCGAGGATCTGATTCTAAAGCCGCTCAAGATCATAATTTTCGTACCACACATGTATAATTACATCAATTATTATAGAATTGTAACAATTATATATAAATTATAAAATATGCAAATGCGAAACAAGTATATTTCCATATAAGTAAATGAATTATAAATATAGATTATATATTTTATATATATATATATATATATATACATAACAATAACGGTAAACTTCGCAATCTTTTTTTTTTAATGAGAATAATGAATTCTTATACTGTCGATACAAAACCTGAGACAGTAGCTCAAAGCTCACTTCGTCAACATGACATGATAACTCCAAGGAAATTTTTTAAAATTGATATGCACACGTTAGTAATGGTCTTTATTTATTTTATAATTTTTTAAGATAATTATTCTTTTTAAGATAATTTTTTATTTATTTATTTTTTTTTTAAAAAAAGACATATACTTCCAAAGCATTGGCCCGACCTTAAAAAAAAATATGGATATGGTGGATGGGTACAATTAGATCATCATGAGCCGGTAAATCATTTAAAAGTTTGTGTTAAAAAAAATATTTACATAATATTTATATAAAATGTCTTTTTTAGGGTAAAGCGAGAATGATTATTGATGGAAAAAATTTTCGCGAAATTCAATGCAATTGTTGGTCTGCGGATGAAAGAGTACGAGAATGTGATAATACAGGTGTTGATGTACAGGTATATTCTTTTTAATTTAATAATAACTTATATTTTTGTAATACTTATTTTACATACTATTTGACTATTCAAGGTTCTTTCTACAGTTCCTGTGATGTTTTCGTATTCTGCAAAGCCTCAACATACTCTTGATTTGGCACGTTATCTAAATGATCATATTGCTCAAGTATGTGCCGAAGATCCAAAACGTTTTGTTGGACTTGGTACACTTCCGATGCAATCTCCTGAATTGGCAGTACAAGAACTTAAAAGATGTATTAACGAACTTGGTCTTGTTGGTATTCAAATTGGAAGTCACATTAATGAATGGAATTTGGATTCACCAGAATTGGATCCTATTTGGGAGGTTGGTTTCGCTTAGGTCAATATTATTTAATCCATTTTTTAATCCTTTTTTTTTGAGATTAAATATAATTTTCATTTTCGCAAACAGGCATGTGATCAACTTAAAGTTCCGGTGTTTGTTCATCCGTGGGTGAGATATTTCAATGGTGATTTGTAGATTTAATTTTCAGTTAAAAATTTCTTATTTATCCTGAGACACGAATGTTTTAGGATATGGAAAATAAAGGTCGAATGGAAAAGTACTGGTTTCCATGGTAAATAAAAATTTATAAAATATAAAATATTTTGGTTTCTAAAAATATCAATATTCTTAAGAATTTATTTATATCTTTTTAAAAAAGGCTTATCGGAATGGTATGTTATGTTATAATTCAATTGATTTTTGATAATCCGCACACTAACATATATATAATTTACATATCTGATATATAATAATTACGCATATTTTTTTAAACAGCCCTGTGAAACGACAATATCAATTTGTTCGTTGATATTTGGGGGCGTCCTTGAACGTTATCCTAATCTTAAAGTATCTTTTTGCTCATGGTGGTGGATCTTTTCCAGCTACGCTAGGACGTATTGTACATGGTTTCAATGTTAGACCTGATTTGTGTGCTATAAAGATAAAAAAGAGTCCTCTGTATGTACATTCATTTTTTATAAATATTTTCTTTATTTCTTGATAGTAAATTTACTCTTATTCATGTTTTTACATAAAGAGAATACATGGATCGTATTTATGTTGATTCGCTTGTACATGATGAGGAAACACTTCAATTTTTAATTAAAAAGATGGGTATAGATAAAGTAATGCTAGGTAGCGATTACCCTTTTCCACTTGGAGAAAGTCATCCTGGAAAGTTGATTGAAGGATGTGACTGGTTAAGTGATGAAGATAAAGAAAAATTGCTGAGTGGAAATGTTTTGAAATTTTTGGGGATAGATCATAAATTTAATAAGGAAATGTATCTTAAAGAGTAATGTGATAATTTGATAGTGAATCATTAATAGATTTATTTTACGTATAAAATGAGGTTATTACTCAACATGTACATCTTTTATTTTTTTTTAACATTCGGACATGTCGTGTAGAGCTCAGAACCGGATGTAAAATTGTCACCCGGATCACCCGTATAATCTGAAATCGGGTGAACCGGTTGAAAAAGGTTGGAATAATCGTGACGGCGAAAATTATGGATGACAGTTTTTTGAAATTTTCGAGAGTGGAGCTCGATTCGATATTATCGAAAAATAAAAAAAAAAAAACAAAACTGATTCAGTTCGAATCTGAGATCCGGACAATAAGCATGAAAAAAAATAATACGATCAGTGTTGGCTTGACCAGACCAGTTTGACCATTGGACCAGACCAATTTGACCAATTTGACCGGTCTGGTCAAAGGATCTGTACTGGTCAAATTGGTCAAATAGAATATTTAAATATAGTTTATTATACTGTATAATATAATATATATATTATATTTATATAATCGACTTAACTAATTAGACCAGTTTGACCAATTGACCAATTTGACCAGACCAATTTGACAAAAAAATTTTTGGTCGACCACTAATTTGCCCAACACTGAATACGATAGTACAAATACAAATCTGTAAATAGTGTTGTTAATGTATTCTCTCTTTGTCGTACTCGTTGCGGGTTTTATATCGTTATCATCGAACAATAGTGCCACGCGGTTCTCAAATAAGATTAAGTTATCCTGAAATATCCGGATCTGGAATACGAAAGTTTTCTAACCCCACGCGTGCAATTCGACTTTTACTAGCGTTCATTTCCTTGGCTATTATACTTGACTGGAGTATTGTTTAAGTACTTCCACCTAATAAGCAAGCACTCAGTGTACTATTAAGATAGTATTTTCCTAAAGCCAATCATTGGGACGATTCGCCTGCACCTCTAGTACGCATTAAGCAATGTTAGCCAACAGTCTATAGCAAAATTATCAGCCGGGCATTTTTACTTAATGAATAGGCTATGACTTTCATTAGTAAAATTTTTAGTGATCTTGGACAAAATTAATCAATTCCGGCACATCCGGCCAGACTCTGATGCATTCCGACCCGGAATGTTGATGATCCCCGTTATCGACGATCACTATCGAACGTGTCGAACAAAGAGTATTACATATGAGTGCTGCAGAGCGAAAAGCTGGAAGTGAATACTTGAAGAGTTCACTATGGCGAGTTTAACCCCTGATGGATTCTGATGTTACGTAATTAATCATGTGTACGATCAGTTTCGATAGTATATATCATCTTAATATAGAAATACAAATCAGGCACATCGGCTCTATTAATTTAAATTACGCACGTTACCGAAATTACCAGAACACTGATTATCAATACGTAATGTTGCAATTCATCAGGGGCTAAACTCGCCATAGTGAAAACTTCAAGTATTCACTTCCAGGTTTTCGCTCTGCAGCACTCATATGCAAAGAAATAACAATGAAGGTTTATACAAAGAAAATTTTTAACAAAATTTTCGCAACAATAGATAGTCCGTAACGGGATTGAACATTTAGATAAATCATTAAGAGAAAAAGGGTGTTTATTCACAATACAATTATAATGTGTTAAATTTTGTGTGTAATAATAACAGATTGTTAGAGGTTACATATTCAACCGTTTTGACCCGAGTTGTAAATTTTTGACCCGGTTAAACCGTTTTGACACGGGTGACACGGTTTACTATAACCCGGTTCTAAATTCTAATGTCGTGGATTTCCTTTTTTAAAGAACAAGATGTAGTAATTCCATATAGTTTCAAATCGTCAAAAAAAAGTGAATATTTTGTATACCTTGTTTGACTTAGCCAAGGACTTTCGAACTTGTCTTTGATCTTTTATAAAATGATCTAAAGATTCGTTTAATTCTGCTTCATCAGTAGTGTCTAAAATGAAAGATAAGATTTACTTATTTCATAATAAATACAAATAGAGAAAATAATTATTATTACAAAGTCGCTTCAATTCGTTATCTAATTCACGGCGGAATCTTTGAGACTGTGTGTGAATTTTTGCCAAGTGATCTAACGTTTCGGTTGTAACAGACTTTTTTAAAGTAAGTGTTTACTGGAATTACAGTGAATCTATCAGTCTTTTCAACAAATGCAAATTTATATATACCTGATATTTTTCAAATTCAAGTTTTAAGTTTTTAATACAAGTACTATCATTATTTAATTTTTCATCCATTTTTTTCATTACAGACAAAGCGATATTTTTCCTGTATAAAAAAAAAAAAAATTGTAAAGGTGGCTATTTTGATAAAAAATTACGTATGACCCTATGATAGTAAGGGACTTACATTTCGGAAACCCAAACATTGACGACACCGTTTTCACCGTTTATTAATTCCATTGCTTCCTGTAATCTTGTTTCTTGTTCTCTTTCGAATTTGTTAAAACGAGAATTAGATTTTTTGCTAGTTCTAGCTGTAAACGGTTATTTGTCATGTGATTTAGCATTTTATATTGACCGAAAATAAATTAAGTATTAGAAAATAAATTAAGTATTAGAAAATAAATTAAGTATTAAAAAAAAAAAAAAACACTTACTTTGAAGAACCCCGATCAAATCCTCCATGTCATGACTCCTTAATCAAAATAATTGATAAATTAACGGTTAACATTGAAAGAATTTAAATATATAGTATACCTCTGAAGGTTTAAAATCAAAAAAGGTTGTTGCCAATTAAGTTATAAAACTTTTGTAAAACTTTCTAGATTGAATTCTTAAACCTTTCAGTGTATAATCTATTGTATAATCCATCCTTGATATAATTCATTCTTGAAATTTTTTTAAAAAAAAACAAACCCGTCATTAGAAATAGTGTTTATAGTGACATTATCGTCAACATCGATATCATCTCGAGTATCATCGCTCTGGTAAAATTCATCACCAGAATCTGGTTTTCCACGCTTCCTATGTGAATCATTTTTAGTAATCTTTTTTGAGCGAGACTTCCCGTTGGTAGTTGATTTCTTTGTGGACGATACTGCGCCAACATTCGACTTTCGTCCACGTGGACCTATGATCCAAATATATAACATAAGTGTAAATCATCAATAAATTTTAATAAATAATAATAAATAATAAATACCAGCTTGAGCAGAAGAGCTAGATTGGGTTGTAGATTTTAAAGTTCTTTTTGTGATCGAGACGGCGGTTCCATTATTAGAGCGTTGCCTGACCATTTTAAAATTATTCGCGTACGATTAAAGAAAAAAAGTTATTATATATTTATCTTATTTTTGAATCGTAGTAAAAGTGTAAGAAAGTGTAAGAATAACAATAGTGTTTAAGAACTATATTTTGTTTTTTTTTTCTCTTCCTGTAGATGACGTATTAAGTAACTAAGAATCGTGATTAGCTATCTGATTAGCTACTTTTGATCAATTAAAAATTTACTACCGACCACGCTGATAAATTTGTATAAATTTTTTTTTAAAGTAATTCCGATACCGACAACTCATCCATTTTTTTTGATTGACCTGGTCGAAAAAATCGATCTTCGTTAATTATATCACTAATCGTGATGACAGTTAAAAATCGAGATAACGATAATTTTATTATCATTATCATTATCATTCTTTTTTTAAACTAATGCATATTACTGTTACAGTATTACAACTAATAAAATTTTCGTATTTTACTAATGTAATTAATTACCGAGTAACCGAGTAACTTATTTATACAGCTTAAAGTACTTTTTTGAGAATGTAACGTTTCACTAAGAGAAAAAATCACTAAAGCAAAAAAAAAACATTTTCTTTTTAGTTTCGAAAGGACGTTAATGCGAAAAGAACCAAAAGAATTCAAACTGATTAATTACTATATACTATTAATAGCTACTATTAATAGCTATATTAACCATATACGTATAAGTGTTTTGATTATTACGTATAATAAACTTAATACTAATTTGCCAATTGATAAATTTGGATAATTTAATTTTATTACGTATTAATAATATGAAATACGTAACGAATCTTACGTAGTAGAAATTACGATAACCGAGAATAGACTAGAATTATGTTATATATATTAATTAATTAATTAGATGTTGACTTGTTTGATTGATTTGATTGGTCTATGATCACGTTTTGATCGATATAAATTAGCCAATAATATGAAAGTCTTTACAACGATATTCGATATAACAACCGGAGTTTCTTATAAACCTTGTGACACTTACTTACCAGCTCAATCATGACTCGTGATCCATTCAATGACCCAACCAATTATCTCAAACCCTCTCCCCCCTTTTTTTCATTAATACAGTAATAGAATTCCTCTTTTATAAATTCCTTATTCTCTTATTTTGTCGTGAGATTTATCTTTAAATTTAATTTTATTTATTTAGCATTGAATAAACAATAGAAAGAAAATAAGTACGTACGTTACGTACATACGTTTTTTTTTTCAAAAAAAAGTCTAAAGGCATATTAAATTGCCGAATATGCTATAATTCTTACAAATAAAATAATTCAGTACGTATATAATTGTTAAATTTTAAATTCATTGTGTTAAAAAATTTTAGTCTAACCATAAGATTGATCCCCAATCAAACTTACATCCATATTTGGTTATTGTTTATGCTCACATGATAAAATTTTCCCAAACTCGAACCCATCTCGTAAAAAAAATTTTACTGATAAATTATTTATTTTTATATACAAAAGTCCGAAAGAAAAAGAAAGGCTGGATTTACTAGACCAGACTAAAAAAATATAAATATTTTAATTAGGTCGTTGAAAAAAAAATATAAAGGATTAAAAAGAGAATATATATTGTGGCAATGTAACTATTGTATATATTGTATATATTGTATGTATTGATATGAAACAACCAAATAACGAAAATGAATAAGAATATGCGTATTAATTGTGCAATGCTAGATGAAATTGTTCGAGTAATAATTATAATGATTAACTCGCGCCTTACTATAGTAATCGCATTGATGCATTAAAATACATTATCTTTTTGCAATATATGGCGCGTATGACAAGTTGATTTGAACGTCTACGTTATGAAACAGGTTAAATTTAGATTCGTTGCTCCAAATAACATGCTTCCAATTGGTTGAAATCATATCGTCGTTAAGATTAGAATTGATTAGAATTAAAAACTGTTTCTGTTCACTTTTATTTAATTACAATAAAACAATTCTTAATGATTTATCATGATTAAATCCCGAGCTTAAAATAACTTTAGTCAATCTCAAAATCTACCTTGTTTTTAACACTTTAACTTGATTTTTTTTTTTAAAAAAAAAATTAAATATAAAGTATATAAATCAAGAAAATTTATTTATATATTAAAAACATGAATTAATTTGCTGAATCTTATAAGTGGGCAAATATACAAAAATATTATATACCTTATATGGTTGATATCGCCAATATAATGTATAAATTTAAATGGTTTCTATTAGAACATAATTTCTGAGTGGTAATATTTGACATTATACAAATTAAAAAACAATTTAAGAGTAGCCCTATTAAGTCTTTAAAAAAAAAAAATAACTTATTTGTTATCATAAAAATCCATGACTTTTAATAGGGCACTATATAAGAGAGGGTAAATATACAAGGGTAAAGGTACAAGGGAAGGGGGATGGATGATTAATGTTGTTTTATACAAGCAAGATCAACGAGGATTTGCGCTGCCTAAAGTTATAAGAAAGATATTAGTGTTAATATCATTCATTATACCAATCAATAATTAAAAAAAATAAAGAGTAAACTAACCTCCATCATTTGAACTTGCTGATGCTTGGTTAAGTTGAATTTGAGACACAGATCCCAGCTCTCGTGATGTTCCCATAGGTGCTATAAAGTGAGAAAAAAAAAAAAAAGTTTTTAACATTTTTTGAACAATACTGTAGTAAATAAAGGGTTTGTAAATACCGTATAGCGCCTCCATAAAGTACCCCGGGTGCATACCAGGAAACTTGTATTAACCAAAAATAATACCCCCGGTATTGTGGGTACTATTTATGGGGGGTATTATGTATGGTAGTAGGTGTTATCGATCGATCCCGTATAGAAAGAAATTCATACTTTAATGCCGTAATGGTATATATATAGTACCCGGGTATATATGGATTTTCAGGACCATGCGACTGATATAATAATACCCGGGTACTATTGTATGAGGGTACTTTTCAATGGAGGTACTTTATGGTGCGCTATATGGTTGTATATAGTTTGAAAGGGTAATAGTTAGAATTAGAACATACTTTAACCAAACAGTTTCTGTGCTTATACCTCTTACCACAAACGTGGCAAGTGTAAGTTGTTTTAGAAGCTGAGGGTGTAGGACTGTGCTCTTTTTGGTCGTCAGAAGAAGCGCTTTGTGCACTCTCTTCTTCCTTTACCGCTAGGCGTTGGGCTTTTTCAACAGCCTGACCGGCTTGTTCATCTATAAGAAGGTAAATTTTAGTAATCTGTATAATTTGATAATAGTAAGGAATAGAAACTCCTTCAAACCTAAGGAAAGTTGTGGGAACCTTCCGTCAGTGTGACCAATAACAGGTTCACCAACGGTAGGAAAGTATTGAACAGTTTCAGTAGGTTTTGTTTCGGTATGAACGGTGAAGGAATTCATAGTTTTACGTTGGGAAAAGTTCTTAGGAAGGTTAATGAGAAAAAAAAGTTTCGGTTTTTATATGACACAAAAAAATTTTGCTTTGTACTAAAACGGTTTCACCAAGCGCAGCGAGGTAAAAGTTTCCGTGCAAGTCAAAATAAGTTTCTAAAGAGATCAAATGAGGTAAAAGGAGGAAGGAAATAATGTTAACGGAAAAAAAGATGTATAAAAATTACAAGGGAAAAAAAATTATATGATGAAAAAACGATAATGATTTGAAAAATTGCCAACAAAAAATTATTCTTGGAAAAAAAACACGGCTTGAAATTTTTTATACTTAAAAGGTCTTTTTATAAAGTACAAAAAAAAAAAAAATTTTTTTTTTTTTTATGAGATATATTACGTTAACCTTATCTTCACTTATCGACCAATGAACTTTAAGAAGTCAAATTTTTGTGAAATCATGTGATCTTAGATCCCTGGAACAAATGATGATTGGACAAAAAAAAGGTGACAAATGAAATGATGGATTTGTTTGTTTAAAAATGTGCACGGGGACACTAATTAGTCTGTTGATCCGCAGCGACCAATAAAGGTTAAATGTAAATTGAGTACAAGTTGAGAACATGAAATTGTATCAAAAAAATTTGTCATAAGAGGATCGTATGACGTTACTGAAGCATGCATCCGCCTACTTTTTGTATCCTTCGCTTTTTTTAGTACATTGTTTCCTACATAGTGACTTCTTTTTTAGATACTCTATCATGTCACTTTTATGATATGGAAGTTACCCGATTATCTAAAAATTTTTAAAACGCCCATGTCACTATTTTGGGGTTGCTTCCCACGCTTTGACAAAGAAAACAAAATACGAGAATGAGTCATTGATGTGATAAAATCGGTACAGGTGACAAGTATTAATAAGAGTGATATAAGTGACATGAAAATCTTTCCATCAATTCCTTTACATATATCGACTGATTTTTGATAAGGAAATCCAATCTCTTCAGTGATGCATCTCATTAGACATATGAAATTATTTATAATTGACGTACCTTAATCTGGGAAGATTGGTTTTCATTATTAAAATCAGCCGATATGAGGTCTGAAATGAGGTCTGTTATGTATTCAATGGATGCAATGGATGCAATGAATTCAATACTTTTTTTTTTTTAAAAAAAAAAAATTTGTTTCTTTAATAAATTGGTTTCTCTTTCCAAAGTTATTTCTTTTTTAATACACGATACTCGGAGAATTTTTATCCATTCTTTATAAGGATTAACGTTAATGTGAAATTAGTATGTATTATTAATACGTAACATATTTATTAGTGAACATAAAATATTCTACGTATCATAGAGAATTCGAGAATTGACAAAATTGGACTTTAATAGCAATTCGCAAAGTTTTATTTGTAAGTTAGATGGTTTAACTTGTCACAAGAATACATTAACGTTAAGATCAATGTAATTTAGATAAGTGTATAATTCACGTAATTAGTGCTGACATTTGTCAGCACTGAAATTTTAATTGCTAGAAAAAACTGTCCAACAAAAGAATGAAAATTCGCTTGAAAGTTTGGTTTGGAAAATTCTTTAGCAAGGAAATAAAAACATTTTAGTTCGTAAACATTCGTAAACCTTCCGTCGACATCATTAAAAATATTAGATGAAAGGTCTTATATATTCGATTTAATCAATGATTATCAATTATACTGTATATTAATAATAATGATTAACTTTATTTTCCTTTCGGGTCTTTACTTTTTATATTTTGGATAATTCAAATTCTTTATATATATATATATATATAAAGATTTCAGGTTATAAACTTCAGTTTTAGCACCATTAATAGTTTATTTTTATAATTAGCTCGATGATTCTTCAACGTCAAAAATAAAGGAACTATTTGATATATTCAAAATTATTTTTGTGACGTCGTTAAACGTCGCTTCCTCTTGTTCGGACGTTGTTCAGATATCTCAACTGGTGATTGGGATGTAGCCCCGTGGCGTGAAGAACCCATACCAGATTTATCTGTTGAGTTCCGTCGGTCATCTTTTGGAGGTATGATCGCTTCTTTTGCTATAATCAAAGGGAATTCTTATGATGTTTGAAACTAAATTCATCACAAAGAAAACAATCGATTACATACCTTCAAAGGCCATACTTTTTCTCCGTGTTGCAGGTTCATGTATTCCTACTGAACCGTCACTTCTAAATCCTTGAATTAAATTCTCGGCGTGTTCTTTCATTTGTGATGCCATCTTATTAATATCTCCTTCTCGATTAAATACGGATGCATTCATAAACATTAGCAGAAGATCCCGATGAAACTGATCGGTATCTTGAATAACCTAAAATATATACATATATATATTTAATTTTTTTATGTTATTGTGTTGTTTCCTTTGAATCTTTATATTCAAAGGTTATCACTCTATTAATTTGATTTTAAATTAAAATTGATTCCACAAGTTTCATTTATTTTATTTTATTTTTTTTAAAAAACATTGTGGATTTAATTTTTAATTTAAAGCAAAAAGAAATTTACATACTCCATCACGCAAACGTTTCTTTAAAGTTTTCAAATCCATAGGTTGTTTGACAATACTATAATACCCCGGTGCATCTTGTTCTTTGATTGGATTTTGGAAGACACTAGCAAATTTATGATTGCCAATTTCATGTAGCATCATCATGGCTAGTTTTAACCAAGTCTTTTGCTTTTTGTCGTTTTCTGTAATTTAAGGT